TTTAAAGAATTACATTCATTGCAACAATACAATCATATTGAAAATTCCAATGGTCGTTGTCTAGATCTAATTTTTTCTAACTTTTATTGTGTTGTCGATAGAGCCAAATATTATTTAGTCAAGGATGATCCACACCATCCGGCTGTCTGCATTAATTGTTCTAATATCTTCACTCAAGGCACACCCTCATTTCACATGATGAATTGTAACAATGGATATAATTTTAAACGAGCCAACTACCCTTTACTTTATGAAAGTCTTTCGTCCATCGATTGGACTCCTCTACAGAATATAGACGACGTTGAAAAAGCTTGTCTTCATTTTTATAACAAGCTTTATGAAGTGTTTAATTTAGCTATACCAAAATACTCTTCATCTAAGCATAGAGAATACTATCCTCCGTGGTTCACGAGCGAAATAATACGTTGCGTTCAACAAAAAACTTTAGCCTACAAAAATTACAAAAAATACAGGACGATCCAGTATGAGGAGTTGTTTAAGCTTCATCGGTCAAGATCTAAATATCTTATAGAGGAAGCGTACAAAAGGTACATATCAAACACTGAGAAGTCTATTTCTGCAGACCCGAAAAAGTTTTGGGCTTTTATTCAATCCAAAAAAGGGACTACCAGAATTCCTGGTCTCATGGTGTATGACGGTACCGAACTCTCTACCCCCTCAGACATCGTTAATGCTTTTGGCGAATATTTCAACAGTGTCTTTATTCGTTCTATTCCTAGGGACCACACACAACCACCCCCTAAACTTAGTTCTTCTACACAAATTATCGCTTCTCCGATCTCATCACAGGAGGTGTTGGAAATTCTGAAACGATCAAAAGACTCCCTCACAATGGGAATTGATGGCGTTCCTTCTTTCATACTTAAAGACTGCATGGTCGCTAGCGCATCCGTTAAGTGTATTATTTAATCTTATACTTAAACACTCAGTTTTCCCTTCTTTATGGAAACATGCGTATATATGTCCGATCCTAAAAAAAGGAAATCCAAGTGATGTTACCAATTACAGAGGTATTTCTCTACTCTGCAATTTCGCCAAAGTATTTGAAACAACTTTATATTCTGATATTTATAATCAAACTAAGCAGTCAATTTCTATACATCAACATGGCTTTACTCAGAAAAGATCGACGATTACGAATTTGGCCATTTTTTCTCAGTATGTATCAGAAGTCATAGATAATAAAGGGCAATGCGATGTGATATATACCGATTTTACAAAGGCTTTTGATCAAATAGATCATTTTATATTGATTGAAAAATTAAATCACTTTGGCTTCTCTCAATCCTTAATTAAACTTTTCTGTTCCTATTTGCGTCAGAGACAATTTTGTGTCAAGTATAGAAATTTCACTTCTAAGCCTTTTGTTCCAACGTCCGGTGTACCACAAGGATCAAATTTGGGGCCTCTGCTATTCTTACTTTTTATTAATGATCTAGTTAATAATATTACTTGTCAGAAATTAATGTTTGCGGATGACTTTAAGTTTTTCACTATGATAAATAGTATACAAGATAGTGTTGTTTTACAAATGTGTCTAAATCTTGCATGTACATGGTGTACGGAGAATCGCTTGAAACTGAACATCGCAAAATGCAAAGTTGTTTCATACACACGAAGAAATCAGACTACTTACTTTGATTAAAACATAAATGGATCTGTTTTAGAACGCGTAGACAGCTTTAAGGATTTGGGTATTGTATTTGATAGTAGATTAACTTTTGTAAAACATATTACTGAGATTATCACTAAGGCATATAAAACTTATGGATTTATTTACCGAAACTGCAGTGACTTTGATAACGAAATCACTTTGAAATTACTTTTTTGTTCCCTAGTGCGTTCGAGGCTGGAATATGGAGCTGTTATCTGGTCTACGCAGTTCATCGTAGTAGTCTAGAGGACGTTCAAAGAAAATTTCTTAAATGGTTGGCTTTTAAACAAGATGCTGTATATCCTCCTCAGGGTTTCAATCACTCTACTCTGCTAGATAGGCTTAATATTTTATCTCTTTATACACATCGCAATATTTTAACAATAAGATTTTTGTACAACCTACACAATAATAAATTAGACTGCCCTTTACTTCTTGGCAAAATAATTTTTTTAGTGCCTCGTTCTTCTGCAGTTCGCCAACATGTGTTATTTTACATTTCTGCTTCTCGTACCAACGCACTAGCTAGATCTCCTGTTGCCTTAATGTGCTCTCTTTTCAATGGTATTGCTAGCAGTTGTGATATATTTTTTGATCCTATAAATTATGTTTGTTCTTGTATGAAAGACTTGTAGTAGTGTAGAATTTTAAACGATTTGCGTGTATTCAGCTCATTCAAATACAGCATCCAGATGTAGTCGTAGTAAATGCATTATATATTATCAGTTATTAATTTAAGTCATTTAGTTAATTAATTTAAGGTATAATTTAAGTAGTTGTTATCATTATTACAATCACTGTTATGGTATTTAATTCTTCTAATTCTTTTATGTACTTAGTACAATGTAACTCCTGTGTTTACTTGATTCCGATAAGTGGGTGTATCCTGTTGGAATCAATAAATATTATTATTATTATTATTATTAATATTATTATCTTTCGCGTATTGTAGCACTTCTAGGCTTTTGTGGCTGCTGTGGCCGTCCAATAAGAGTAAAACCTTGTTTTCATTCGAAGCTTTAGTGTAATGTACAAAATGTTCCAACCACTGTACAAAAATCTCTGAACACATCCAACCGTTTAGTTGACAATAGGCTTTGCTGCCCATTGGAGCGTTGTCCATCAGCTCATTTTTCATTTTTTTTCTTGGAAATATAAAGGCTGGTGGCACAAACGTGCCCATGGTATTCATACAGCATACGACAGATAAATGCTGTTCTCGTTCAGCACTAGACAGCGCTCCAACTTGCTTTCATCCTTTAGTAGATAGAATTTTTTGTGGTCGTTTTTGTACTACACTGAGACCAGATTCGTCAATGTTGTAATTATTTTCTGGTGGAAAGTTATTTTTTTCCATAACCTCGTTCAGGGATTTAAAATATAAAGCGATATTATTTTTATTGAAGACTTGTGCCCGAGCAGCTGAGCTGTTTTCAGGCCTTCTGAGAGATATCTGTAGATTTCGTTTTAAAAATCCCTGAATCCATTTATCACCAGCTGTTTCTTTTTCTTTGTTAAAAGGGTTTTTTATATTATTTTAAGATGCAAATTCGAAAATTAACTTCTTTAAATCTTTTAATGTTAAACTGAAGAATTTAGCTTCCATATCCTTTATATGTTGAGCAAATTGATCTTCCATCTCTCGACTAAATACTGGTCTTCTACCCACCCAAATCTCCTTTGGTACTGTTACAATTGTTTTTAAATCTTCTGCGCAGTGTGGTAGCAGGGACAAGATTTTGAACGCTAATTGCCATCCCATCTTTTTTTCCCGAACATTTCGCAAAGCCTCTGCCATGTTTTTTTCCTCCCATAATTGCCTCTTAGCCTTACTGGATATTGTACTTGAGGCTGCAAGTGACATTCCTCTGTCATAAAAAAAGACTTCTCAGTTTTTATGAGTGTCAAAACCACGGTTGTAGAATAGATAGGTTTGTACACTAATGGCTTGGGATGGCGACGCTTCTTTTCGATCCCTATATCCATGGAAAGGACACATACAGCTAGCGCCTCTACCTTGTCGAGCGGAAATCATTCTAGTTATTTTGGGGATTTTCGTTTACATTGCTTTATGAACAATGCAAAATTTGTAAATGACATTTGATCGGAGTCGATAAGTACGATTTCTTTTATTAATTACATCGGTTATAGACAGATGCCTATAGAGTTCTGTGTCCCTAAAACGTCAAAAACCAGGCGACGCGATCGGCAATTGGCGTCGCTGACCAGGGATATGCAAATGTATGCTAGTGTATCAACCTATCTATTCTACAACCGTGGTCAAAACCTTATACCTATGATGGCATACTATGCCATCAAAGGAAAAGCTTTGGGATGCCATCATAGGGAAATTCGAGGTTTTATTAAAATCAATTTCGGTATTTTTTCATTTACAACATAACCCTAAACTGGCACCTGTATTACATGTGTCACATGTATAGAAAACATGAATTAAATTGGTGCCCCTGAGTTAAGCATATTAAGAACATGATTTCAACTTGATTAATGTGTAAAACTTATTCGAGAGTCAACAATATTTCATTTATTTTTCTGCCTTTCAAGAAACAGTCCTACACTCACACTGCTTTGTAGACATTCATGTAGCAGTAAGGACAGCATCTTGAACAGGTGATTTGACCGCGAAATTCAAATGGTCCAAAAAATTTGAAGGTATGCCATCATAGGCTGGTTTCCCCAATTTTGAAATTCTGCAATTTGCATTGATATGTTAAATAGCAATTTATCAGTAACATATAAAAAAGCACACACAAAGTGACTGAAAACCTTTGGTGCAACGACAAGTTCACTTTAAAAGCACCTTATCTAAAATAAAAACTGTTGACAAAGCAGTACCTCAGGGGTTGGCCCTCGGAGCAATTTTATTCGTGATTTTTGTGAATGATTTTTATCAAGTCGTACCTACCTACAACGTTTGAGTTAGCATAATGATACGTCTGACAACTCGATTAAATTAAATGACGATCTACTTGTAGACATACTCGAATAGTAACTATTTAATACATAATTAAATTTATCCTTCAACCACACAAGTTTTTGCAAATGCATGCATTACAAATGACACAAATTATAAAGTCAAGCTCAACTGAATGCATTTTAATTTTAAGCAATAAAAAACCGTGTAACTAACTACGGGGATTCACTATATTTTTTTATATACATATGTACATAATTTTCAATAACCATGCCTTGTTATTTATAATTGATTATGATACAGAAATACATAATTATGAAATTGAGACACGTTCCACATATATAGACATAGGTATTTATTAGCAATTCAATATTCCCTCAAAGGTGGACCACCATGACCACAATACTCGTATTCTTAACCACAGTGGCAGCAGCATCATGCTTCGACGTATATTTTGTTTGCTTTTCTCCACCTTAACCCTACTTTTTATTTTTCAGTGGAACGGACCCATTAAAGTAGAAGACGACAGGTTTCAAAAATGTGTCGAAGAATCCGGTTATCAACTCGACCAAGAGGAACCATTCAGCTTCAAAGACGCTCCAACTCTTGAACTTCTTTGTTTAATGAAGTGTGTTTCAGAAACTCTTGAAATCTTAGACGAAAAAGGAAACATTGTTGAAGAAAATCTGACTGAATTTGACAAAGATCTGCCTGAAGAGAAGTACTCAATGTTTAAAGATTGCGTAAAAGACTCTCCGCAGATAGCTGCTTGCCAGGATATGGATTACTTTTTACAGTGTTTGGCATCTTTGCAGTAAACACACTTAAAATTGTTATCCTAATATATATTACACAATCAGTGAAATAAATAATCTCCCGAAATGTAATAATGTGACGAACGGAAATACGATTAGTATTGTTAGGATCAGAATAAAAAGGCTGTTTATTCGTTCAAAGTTGCAGTTCCTGGTTCGACTCTGTGAGATCTAGTTGATAACTAGTAGATTTTCAAAAAAATAAAAATGTTGGGTTTTCTGTGGTATTACGCTGTATTTTCTATTCTGGCAATCAAGGTATTCAGTTGACTTAAAAACATTATTTTTTATTTAACTGAATCTTTCAAGGCTTGTTCAGGGATCGATATTGACGCTGAATGCGTGGAAACATGTGGAACAACTACAGAAGCTATACAGAATCATGATCCCATAAATGATACTGCTACAGATGACATACTATGTTATCAAAAATGTCGTTTTACAACACTCGGTTATTTGGAAGAAGATGGAACGGTATCAACTGACTTTATACTAAAAGATATGAAGACCTCGGGTGTAGGGCAAGACGAACTTGACGTAATTGGAACATGTTTGAAGAATCTTTCCAAAATTGTTGAAAACAAAGATATGCAGTTGTTGATGGACTGCTACAAACCTACGACAGATTGAGTGTTGTGTTTAAATAAATAAATATTATGTATTTTAATTCGTTGTACATAATTTTGAAATAATATATATTATTGTAGTGTTTCAAAGTAATCGGTTCTTTAGTTCCCGAGATTATCTGTAAGTTAACTTTTAAATGGACTAAGCACACACAAATTGAGGAAACTTTGCAACGACCAAAACAAATCAAAATGATTTAGATTTGTAACATCGAATTAGCAAACCATTTAATTGGCAAATTATAAGCTAAAATCCGGCACATAGAATAATACACATGCAACATGTCATATTTTAATGAATGCCATTATATTATTCCGTATTAAAAGCTAATTTATTAAATTTCACAACGGTGACCGTGACAGCTCCCTATAAATTAGCAACAGATAAAATACAACTTCAAAAACGCACTAAACATGAAAGTGAAAAACGTAATTTTATTTTTCTCTTTTACCACTCTTTTCGCGGCAAGTGTACACCTAATTTTACAAACCCTTTTTAATCTGACTTCTTTCAGATATGCGCTGCAAACAGACACGGTTTCATCCCAGATGAAAATCGAAAAGCGATGATGAACAAGTGCCTGGAAGAAAACTCGATGACGTTCGAAGATTTAAAAGCAGAAATGCATTCAGACGAAACTTCGGAAAAGCATGGTTGCTTTCGTAAATGTATGATGGTAGAACAGGGTTTAATCGATGCTGATGGTGCTATTCAGAGTGAAAAAGTGTCTGAAATGGTTGAAAAATTTAACATTAGTGATGATAAACGTCAAGAAGTTGAAAGCTGCCTTAACGAAGTTGAAAGTGTTAAAGATTGTAAGGATTCTAGCAAAGTCTATCAGTGTTTCCCGAAATGGTCGCATCACTAATGTTGTAAATGTGTTACGAATTGTATCCGTAAATTTGGCAATAAATAATCTCAGTTCAATTTATTTAACCCTGTTTTATTGACTGACATTTAGATTCTTTCGTAACTGCTCTGGACAAAAATACATTCAGCTTCCTATCCACGGTTTCGGGATCGATGGCTCCGATCAAGGTGATCGAGCTCTCAGCTTTCGTCGTTATGTTACTTTTTATTTTTCACTGGAACGGATCCGTTAAAAAACACTATACATGCAACATGTCATATTTTAATTAATGCATTACATTCCATATTAACAACTGATTGATTAAATTTTACAACATTGACCATGACAGCTCGATATAAATTAACAACAGCTGAAACACGACTTCAAAAACGCACAAGTCATGAAACTGAAAAACGTAATTTTATTTTTCTGTGTTACTATTCTCGTCGAGGCAGGTATGCAGCTAATTTCACAAGCATTTTTTAATATTTCTTCTTTAGATATGCACTGCAGACAGGCAAAATTACTACCTGGAAGATAAGTGCCTGGAAGAAAACTCGATGACGTTCGACGAGCTAGAAGTACTTAGATATTCAGACGGAACTCCGGACAAACTAGCTTGCTTTCATAAGTGTATGATGTTAGGGCACGGATTAATCGATGCTGCTGGTGCCATTCAAGTGGCTGAATTAGCTAGCTTCTTTACAGATAGTGATGATAAACGTCAAGAACTTGAAAGCTGCATTGACGAAGTTGGATATGTTGAAGATTGTCAGGATTATAAGAAAGTCTGTCAGTGTTATCCGAAATGGCCGCGGTTTTTCAATGATCTCATGATGTTTTATGATTACGAAATTCATCATTATGTTTGACAATACATAATTTGACTGCAATTTATTTAACCTTACTTTTGTGCCCAGTTCAGAATTTTTAATAAAAACTATGTGTTTGAATCTTAAACTAAACCCAGTTTTTACAAAAAATTACAATTTTTAGACGATATCATCAAGTTTCTTGAATTCCACATCACGAAAAACTAAACACATATGCAGTAAAGACAACAAGGAACATATAAAATACGGTCAAAATCAAAATAATAATCATTCGAGAATAAATGTTCAAATTCAAGTTGTCAACAAATACATATTAATATTAGGATTCCCAATTGAGCCGACAAACCGAACGGACGGGTGCGTATGAAGAAGGGAAGCGAGCTAAGGAGGAAATGGGAAAGAGAGTGGGTGAAGTAGAAAGTCAACTAGATCGAATAGGGAGAGAAAAGAGAAAAAACAAAGTAGTGATGACGGGATTGGAAATAGGAACAGATAATTGAAAAGGTGTCAAAATTGTTAGAAGAGAAAGCCAAAGTAGAGAGTAAAGTTAAAAGGGCGTACAAAATTGCAGAGAAAGTTTATGTAGTGGAATTCGAAAATGGAGAAGAAAATATAAATGTAATGAAAAGCAAGAAGAACTTAAAAGGGTCGTCAATTTACATAAACGATGATCTGACGAAAACGGAAAAAAAAATTCAAATCAAAATAAAAGAATAGGCAACAAAAGAGAGAAATAAAGGAAAAATGGTTAGAATGGGATATAAAAAGTTAACTGTAGATGGCAGAAATTTTGAATGGATTGAAGAAGAGGACAGACTCAAGAAAGTAGAAAATTTTTAGTAAAGAACCAAAAGAAAAGGAAGAAAAGAAGGAAAAATGGAAGGAAAGACGGCAAAGGAAAAGGACAAGTAATAAAGGATGCAGATAAAAAAATCGGAAAAAGGGAAGCTGGTACAAAATTTGGAGAAAAAAGGGTGAAGGTACAAGGGTTTCGAAAAAACGTAAAGGAGTTCTGGGACTATGTGGAAAAATTTGATGTGGTGGGGCTAGTAGAGACATGGGTACAAAGAGAAAACGGAGAAATTTGAAGAAACACTACCACAAGAATATGCGTGGGAGTGTCAAGGGGCGACAAAGGAAAAGAAAAAGAGGAGAGCAAGCGGGGGAATGGTAATGGGAATTCGAAACGAAATGCAAGAATTGGAAAAGGAAAGTTATAATAAAAACGGACTAATGAAGAAAGTAATACAGCTGGATAGCAATCGATGGGAAATAATTATTATCGTTTATAGCAAGAAAATGGAGGAAACCAAGATAAATATAGAAAAGGAAACAAGAGAAAAAGGAGATGAAAAAATGCTTGTAGGAGGGGATTTTAACGCAAGACTGGGCGAGAAGGGGACGAGAATAATAGATAAAGAAAAGGGAGAGAAAAGAGGATCAAAAGACCTGTGGGTTGAGCTACCTATCAGGCGCGTCCCCAGGGTTGCGGATAGGGGGAGACCGGCATTGTCTGGGGAGGGGGGTCTGGGGAGGGCGGATATGCCCCTCGGAACTAAACACTCCTGGGGGTGGTGGAAGTCCGACCTGGATTTTCTCTTCTCCAGATATGTAGGTTAGGGCTGAGGCTCGTCTTGCCTGGACATGCCTTGGTGGTTGTCGGCTTAGACGGCCGTGAAGGCGGTTCAGTAGAGGAGGGCTGGAAATAAACGTGCCCCCCCGGGATTAAACCCCTGGCGTGGGGTCGTCAAAACAGCCCCGCGGACAAGCTCCCGCGTGTTTGTGCCGTGCGTGGAGACCCGTAAGGTGGGATGAAGGAATCCTGGAGGTTGAGCCCCCCTTGGTGCAGTGTGTCACCAAGGCTGGGCAACACGCCTCTTTGGCCTGGATTTCCACCAAAACGGGAGGTCGAGACTAACCCATCTCAGATCAATCGGCTGTGTCGTCGGGTCAGACCGCCGACAGGGTGAGTCCTTGGGGGAAGTGTAGTCTGAGCAGGAGTAACCTCACTAGTTGAGGCTGCGTACTGCAGGATGAGCTTCCCTGGGGGCTATATCCTTCTGCTAGCCCTGACGTCGAAGTTCGACGTCCCCTTGTTGGACTCCGTGGTGGGTGGGGAAGCAGAAGGACGAAATTAAAATCCAGATCTATGGAGAATAACAACAAAAAAACCACTGAGGAAGTGCCTTCGGGTGCACCTCAAACAGGAAACCCAGCCAATGTGGGGTCGCAGCCTCCTAGGAGGAAGCGAATCTGCGGGGCTGAGGTAAAAAGGCGGAGGAAGGCTCGTTTGCAGGCGGAGGCGGCGAATACCGACCCGCCGAAACCGGGTCCATCCTCCTCCGGGATAAACCCCAAGGGTAAAGGGCAGGCTACGATAGCCAACCCTAAACAACCCGTGGGGAAAAAGACCTCAGGGTCAAAGAAAAGAGTGAGGTCTTCAACCTCCACACCTCCGGCAGCTGAAAAGCAAAAGAGGATGAGGAGGCAGGAGACTACCTCTAGAGAACAGAGCTACAGGGAGGCGGCTGCAAGTCATCTCCGTGTAGCTGTGATTGATGTGCAGCATCCACTTGGTAAGCTGACTGCTGACCAGGTGGAGATAGTACAAAAGGGCCTGATGGGAGCGCTGGACAGGCAACTTGACCAGTGCTTGGCATCGGGTAGACAAGCAGCCACTTTCAGGGGCATGA